ATTATGGTAGCATACGAAAAAAATATAAATGCGTTTTTAAACGATAAATGTAGATTGAAGGAACCTTATGATTACTTTTAAAAATAAAATAATAAATTTTTTAACAAGACAAAATCTATATACATGCATTTTATGTTTTTTTAAATACCACTTTTAAAATAATGTCATTATTTTGTAATATATATATGATGTAAGTAGAAAGTTTGTATGTACAACTTCGACTCATAGCTTACCGCCTCAATTACATCGAGAGCGTCTTCCAAAGCTATTGGTTGAAGATGTAGTTTTGCTAATTTTTAGGCGAAATTAATTCATTAATTTTAAAATTTTTTACTATTAATTACTCAATACGAAATTTTTATTAATATACCTAGCCAAGCAACAAGATTACACCTGGCAACTTAAGTAGAATGAAATTCCAAAAATTTGTTGAAACAGACTATTGAAGTGAACATTTGATTTTGTTATTATTAGCATAGTTTTGATTTGATGGAAACATTAATTTTATGAAAATAGTTAGCCCCCTTGCTTATGGCATCCGTCAGCTTATCTTTGTAAGAATCCACTTTAAACAGGTCCGCCATGATCTGGGTTGTGCTAAGTGCCAGTAGTAACGTCGGTGCAGCCCTTGCTTATGGCATAAAAATCCCGGTCTAAGTGTTAATAGGTTTCAGGTTCGAGTCCCGGTGGTGCCATGAATGTTTGTAGTGCTGCGGAATCCATTTTAAACCGTAGGTCGCGGTCTAATAGGATCGTAATGTTGCGTGGATATTGTTACTCCGCGTCCATAGCTTGTCTTCAAGCATCAAAGACAACTGTCTAAGTTGGGTATAACAAACTGTTTAAGTTGTCTGACAGTTGTGTTTGTCACCTCAAGGTTTCAAAGACAATTGTCTAAGTGTTTGCCAGCAGCATTAGAAAAAAATGAAAATAGTTATGTACATTACATATATAACAGTTTCTTAATAACGACGTACAGAGCCGTTTTATTGCTGTCAGTTAAAGCAGTTTTATTTTCGTATTTTATATAGAGTATACAATTTTAATTTAAAATTAAGTGAAATAATAATATATGGTGTTTCAGCAATGATACGAATATATTTTATAGAAGAAAACTATCTCATACAGTCAGTCATATTCAATAAAATAATATTAATAGGATGTTCAACGAAATATATTAAAATTGTTCTTGTATTCTATTTTTCTTAGTTTTTATTTTTATATTGAAATATCCTGTTATTTCAGATACATATAATTGTCAAATTTAATATTCTTTCCCGATATAACAACTTTGAATATTATATTTATGATGATAATACAAATTTACTTGCTAGTATTTCCTCTAATTATTTCTTGTAAATTAGGCAAAGAGAATAGAGAAATAATAAAAAAAAAAAAACTGCATAACTATTGTTGAAACCACTAGATGGCGCTAATGATAACCAAAACTGACAATGTTCTTGTAGAAGACTATAATTAAGTGAACTCATAAACAAATGCTTTTCATTTTTTTCCCTTTAAATAAATGTATCTCTGTCAATGAAGAAGTTGATTATGCTGAGTATGATATTTAAAAGAAAGATTTCAATTTCATAAAAAAAAAAAAAAAAAAAAAAAAAATCTAAACTATGTGATAATATAGAACTGTATGATAAGCAATTATTTTAAATTTAGTAAATAAAATACTATTTTTAAATTACATTATAATTATTATTATTAAAATTTTTTTAACATACTTATTATTCATTAAAATGCAACAAGTGATTAGAAATATTTTAAACTGTTGATAAATTTAGTTTCAAAATATTAGTTGCTGTCTACTTGTAGTTTCGTTCTAATGTCACTGATAATTCATCATTTGAAGATGGAATAGTAGCGTCATCTATCGGCAAAAAAATACTAAACTTTTGCAATATATACTAATATCTTCATGTTAATTGTAATTTATTGTTTTTTGCTGACTTTTTTTTTGCAAATTTAAATTATTTTAAATGAAAAAATTAAATCCACTGAGAGCTACTTGTTACAAAATGCCTGAACTATAAAAATAATAATTATTAATGTCTTATAATATTATTAATATTTTCAAGGTAGTTAACTTATTAATTTTTGGTTGATTTTGTTGCAAATTTAAATTATTCCAACTGAAAAAAATTAAATCCATTGGAGATCTACTTGCTACAAAATCCTTGAGCTATAAAAATATTAAGCTTATCGTTCTTCAGTATTCAGAACATTTAATTTTTTGTCATTACATAGTTCTTTTGTATAACATCTGTTGGTCTCATGCTCCATTTATGTATACCATGAAAATGGGGTGGATACATCATGCACACTCTTTAGATTTCATGTATACCTACAATGAAATCCTTTGTCTGATGTCGTGTAGATGCAAGATGGCATTTCCCATTTTTTAGGTCTTTTGCTAAACGTTTCTTAAAACAGTTTCATGACAGAATTATTTACCGTCATTTCCGTTTCCGTGGCTGCCGAGGACGCCAGATCTTACTCCAGTGTGTTTCTGACATTGTATGTATTCAATCCACAAACTGAATCTGATGCCAGTTCCACAGATTCCTCTTACCATGGTACGTGCTTCCTTTAATCCGCAAACTGCATCTGATTTGAAAGATGTCACCTGATGTTAGTTCAATGTGAAATGCTTATACACAGTGTTTCATCGAGCCTCTCCGTTTTTGAAATCAGTGATTGCAAGGGATGATGTCAGCAATAACAAACAGTGTAATTCAAAAGTCTTTACATACACGAATCTATTAATGACTTTTTTAAAAAAATGGAAGGGGATTCTTATAATTAAGCGAACGTGTTTAGCTTTATGCTTCACAATATGGAATTAGAGAGCAAATATTCAAAGTACGAATCGTAATCATGTGTGCATGTGGTGACATTGACAGAAACCATTGCAGACAGCATTGGATTTGGACCTTTTAAAATGGAATTAGAATAAATACTCAAAGTATGAAAGTTTTATTGTAGCCTAGAAAGTAGGTAGGTAGTATTGTAGCCTAGTAGACTTTTTTAAAAATGGAAGGGGATACTTATAATTAAGCGAACGTGTTTAGCTTTATGCTTCACATTATGGAATTAGAGAGCAAATATTCAAAGTGCGAAACGTAGTCGTGTGTGCATGTGGTGACATTGACAGAAAACCATAGCAGACAGCACTGGATTTGGACCTTTTAAAAAAATGAAAGGAGATACTTACAGTTAAGGGAACGTGTTTCACTGTATGTATTATAATATGGAATTAGAATAAATACTGAAAGTAAAAAAACGCTTTTATTGTAGCCTAGAAAGTAGGTAGGTAGTATTGTAGCCTAGTAGACTTTTTAAAAAAGGGAAGGGGATACTTATAATTAAGCGAACGTGTTTAGCTTTATGCTTCACAATATGGAATTAGAGAGCAAATATTCAAAGTACGAATCGTAGTCATGTGTGCATGTGGTGACATTGACAGAAAATCATAGCAGACAGCACTGGATTTGGACCTTTTAAAAATGAAAGGAGATACTTATAGTTAAGGGAACGTGTTTCACTGTATGTATTATAATATGGAATTAGAATAAATACTCAAAGTAAAAAACGCTTTTATTGTAGCCTAGAAAGTAGGTAGGTAGTATTGTAGCCTAGTAGACTTTTAAAAAATGGAAGGGGATACTTATAATTAAGCGAACGTGTTTAGCTTTATGCTTCACATTATGGAATTAGAGAGCAAATATTCAAAGTACGAATCGTAGTCATGTGTGCATGTGGTGACATTGACAGAAAACCATAGCAGACAGCACTGGATTTGGACCTTTTAAAAAAATGAAAGGAGATACTTATAGTTAAGTGAACGTGTTTCACTGTATGTATTATAATATGGAATTAGAATAAATACTCAAAGTATGAAACGTGGTTATTGTAGCCTAGGAAGTAGGTAGGTAGAATTGTAGACTAGTAGACTACATCATTGTATAAATTAATGTGGTTATTGTACAAATTAATGTGGTGATATTGGCAGAAAATCATTGCAAGCAAAACCAGATTTAGACATGATGATGCCGTAAGCGTTTTGAGATATAGAGGCCTTTTAAAGCCCAGATATTCTATGTTGGTGGCAAATATGTTTTTCGGATACCGATTACCGATAGGTAAGAAGTATATTGATAGTATTGTGTTTGTCCTACGCACGTCTGTGGTTGTTCATCCATACGACGTCGAGTCTCCCAGTAGCTGGAAATTATATCATCAGGCACATCGATAAAATTAGTGCAGTTCCGCAGGCGATCGAAGTCCATATTGGCGTTCCGACATAATCGGCAGATCCCATCCGAAGCCAAACCAATATGCATTGGGGCATTTGAAGAAGGTACTGAACAGTACTGAATATTTATGAGTTGATGGTTAAAAAAATATATATTACGTTATCAATTCCAAAAAGTTTATTGAATCTAAACAACAGTCAATTGTTGCTCTAAAAACAAGATTCAAGGAAGGGCAGTACATGGAATACGTATAACATACTTATTAACCTTCAATATTTTTCTTAGATTCAACTGTACTTTACAGACATTTTGAGATTATCATATGACTGGCATTAACTAAAAATCGATTTCGCACTCTTTGCAAGGTTGTTGTGCATTATATTAGCCATACTTAGTATGGGTACCGTGTCTAGGAATGTTAGAAAAATTGAAACATGTTGTTGTTGTTTCTTATCCCACTTGGCTGGCCAAGCCCACGAGCCCATTCGTACTCATGATTGAAGGGGAAGGAAGCAGCTTTTGTTTGTGATGGAGCACCCGTAGGTAGAAGTCTGACTTTGGCTCCATGTGACGCTCTTACAGTCATGGGAGACAAGGACCTACGGCTTAAAGTGGATTTCGAACCACTACAAACATCCATGGCACCGTCGGGACGCGAACCCGAAACCTGTGGTACCGAGCGCCAAAGCGTTAGACACTCGGCCATTCAGGTCCCAAATTTGTGAATGCCAATAGCACGCGGTGTTCCCAGGTGGTCACCCACCCAAACCGCGCCCAATTGACTTCGGTGATCTAACGAGAACCGGTATATTCAACATGGTATGGCCGTTGGTAAATTGGTTGGTATGGTTGGTTGGTAATTGAAACATACTTCACAATAACAGTGAACTGATCAGTATTGTAACATTTTTCCCACGAGAAGAGATATAGTATTTTTGTTTCCAAGGGAAAGACATGCATATTCTTTAGCGAGTACATTATAAGAACCTATCACTCAAAGTTAACAGCCGACAAAGCAGAGTTGTGGGTAGTTATATTACATTACAATTAGTGTTTTGTACTAATGAGAACAACCTGTCACTCAAATTTGATAGCAGATATTAAGTGTTATGTTTAATGAGATGATAAATTTAATATAGTTTAAATTGTAAAAATAATAATTTTACCATATAAAGATTATTGTAATTTTCATCTTTATTATAAATCACTTAGAAATGGTTGATCTTTGAAAACTGCAAGTTGCATCTGAAACTGCAATAAAATATCAAGAGGATTTATGATGGGAAAAATTAAAGCAAAATATGAGAATTAGAGCTATAAACTTTAAAAAGCTAAATTATATCTAGAGTTTGTAGGGAAATATATTCTTGATAACGTATTAGAAAATTACCAGAACATATGGATACAATCTTTCAGTTGTGGAAGGAAATTCTTTTTAAAAAGGAAAACAATAAAATTAAGTTTGGCAATTCAAAACGTCCAAGATTTATTCGATTACGGTTAATGAGATAATAACAGATGAACTGAATTTCATTATGTTTGAGTTTATTGCTACAACTATAAAAGGGTGAAAGCTATATATAAAGAATTGGATTTGGAAAACTTATTGCTCACTGTTAAACATATAATACATCTAATGAAGTTTATGATAAGGGAAGTTTATTGAATCTGGAAGAGAAATTTTTTACTTAAGACATTCTACATTCATTTTCTATATACATATTTCAGAAGTAAATCGTCTACAAGATCACAATCATCTGTTAAAAATTGGAATTCATTTTGGTTACAAATCTTTATGATTATAACCCCCATAATCAAGCAACCCCAAATAATCTCCTATAATTATTATAATATTATCTAGAGTTTATTTAAACTCATCTTTATTATATGAACTTAAATATTATAGTTTTTTGTTGTCGTATTCCTGAAGAGTACAAGAAAACCAAATATTGTGGTGCTCCTCAATAATATTGATTGCCAGCTCGAAGTATAAATCCTCTTACGAGGAAAGGTCCAGACAATGCATGGCGGCAGTAACAGTTGGGCAATCAAAGACATGATGAGGAGTAAGCTCGACATCAGAGCAGTTGCCACATTTTTTTGGTATTTTTTAACGCCATCAGCAGGGAAATTTTCATATTTTTATGGTGCCTCACCCTTAACCTTGTGAGAGTTGTAGCTGGTTTTGACTACATTTAGTTATGTAATTTGATATCTAGTTTTTGACCTTAGAAGGAATCATAAGTTTAGATTTTGCCAAGACATTTGCATCTGCAAGGGAGGTAGAAATGACAATTTTGATGCAGACTCTGGCATTTTACGCTAAAGAATCTGCAATTTCATTAAATTCCAAATCCACATAAGCAGTGATCCAACTTAAATATTATTGAGTTATATAAAAAATAAGTATATTATTTTAAATTAACTAAGTTAAGTAAAGAGTTAAAAAAGAGTAAATACTTTAACACATTGAAATTTTGTTGAATAATACTTAACGTATGAAATGAGAAAGTTTTAGTTAAATAATATCAAGCTAGCTAATTATAAAATTTTTTGTAATTTGTACTTTTGTTATGCAATCTTAATATCTGTTATTTTATTGAGTTTATTCAAACTCTTCTTTTTTTTTCTCTGAACTCAAATATTATTGCATTGTATAAAAAAAAGTATATTGTTTTGTATTAACTTAGCTAAAACCGTAAAGTAAAGTTGAGTAAAAGGGTGTAACAAAATTAAATACTTTAATACATTAAAAAATATTGTTGATTAATACTTAGTGCATGAAACGAGAAGTTTTAGCTAAAGGAAGTCAATTATTAAATTTTTCGTCATTTGCACTTTTATACTACAATCTCAATATCTGTTATACACTCATGTCCATAAATTAAGGATAATTCAGAATCACACAGAAATTGAACTCTAAAATAAAAATTTCACCTGTAGAATTATCACACATATCTTGAAGAAGAATATGCAAATTACAGGAAACCACCAGATGGCGCATGATGGTACGTCCCAATGACGAGAGTGTAGGAGAGAGGGTATATAAGGAATGGTGGCAAAGAAGTAAAATTGTTCAAAGCGCTTTAAAAGCCTTTCAGTGCAATAACCGCATAGTTATGGCACAAAAGGAAGCATTTGGATGATTTTTAAGTGGTAGAATTATCGGACGACTGGAATGGACGTACCCAGCTGGAAGTATCCGAGGAACTTGGAATCGCCCAGAGTGTCATTTCAGGCTTTGGCAACGATTCCAAGATGATGGTAATGTAAGTAGATGTTACAGCACATGTATCCCGAGTTGCAACGCCGAATGAGGACCGGTATTTAGCAGTTACTGCCAAAAGAAACAGACGGAGCACAGCATCAGACCTGTCTCGTCAGCTCTCTTCAGCTACCGGTACGACAGTTTCAAGGCAGACCGTGTGCAGACGCTTAGGGCACATTGGTCTATATGCTCGTAGGCCTGTCAGATGTGTTCCACTTACCGCAACTCACTGCCGCCTGCGATTAACCTGGAGTAGAGAGCATGCATTGTGGACACCGCAACAGTGTTCTGGTGTGATGTTTTCCGACGAGTCCAGGTTCAGTTTGCAGTCTGATTCTCGCCGGACTTTCATATGGAGAGCGCCAGGTACCCGTTACCACCAAGAGAACACCATTAAACGACACCGTTACGGTGGTGCAGGATGGCTCGTTTGGGGAGGAATTATTCTTATGACTTGCATGTTCAGAGTGTAACGATGACAGGCCACATCTATCGGGATGTCATTCTGGAGCAACATGTACGTTTGTTTCGGGGCGCCTTGGGTGCTGAATTTCTGTTTATGGATGACAACGCCCGTCCTCACCGTGCAAACAATGTAGACGAATGCCTTCAATTGGAGGATATCACCCGTATGGATTGGCCAGCATACTCACCGGACTTGAATCAATAGAGCATGTGTGGGATATGCTTGGACGACGAATTGCAGCCCGTCAACCCCTCCCACCTGTCAACCGGAACTTCGGTGGCATTGCTTGATGAGTGGTGTAATATTCCCCAAGATCAGATTGATAATTTGATACTCAGCATGCCTAGGCGTTGTATAAGGCCTGTATTGCATCGTCCGGTAGACATACTCCATATTAACCATCATACTAACCATGTTATGCTGTTTTTGTAAATAGGTTCTTTTTGAAATTTGCTGCAGGAGTAAAAATCGCATTTTTATTAATTATGTCAAACATATAGCATTTTTTGTTTAATAAATAGACTTTACAAATAAGTCAAATTTGTTTTGCTTCTGTCTCTTTCTTTGCCTGAACTTCATTATCCTTAATTTATGGACATGAGTGTATTATAGAGTTTATTCAAACTCTCCTTTGTTTTCTGAACTTAAATATTATTATTTTTTTCTTCTAATGCAGCTGGCAAATAGACCGTGATCTTTCGCCATAAGGGCTGCACCGATATTACTCACTTTGCATTACCCAGGGGGCGCGTGTAACTTGATGGTAAGTCACGGACGCGGAGTAACAATGCCCCGCAGCGCTCTACGATCCTATTAGGACCGGGACCTACAGCTTAAAGTGGATTCGAACCACTACAAACATCTATGGCAAAGCCGGGATTTGAACCCGATACCTGTGGTACCGAACGCCAGAACTTAAATATTATAGAATTATATAAAAGTATATTATTATCTTAAATTACCTCTCTAAAAAAAAGCCTTGAGTAAAGAAGATAATAAAATTAAATATATAATTTATTAATTATATATAAATATTAATAAATTTAAATATAATATTAATAATAGTTAATTAGTTGAACTTTAACAAACCAAATCTTCAATGAATAATATTTAAATCAAATGAAACGAGATGAAATGATGATATGTATGAAAGGAAATAATACATATGAAGACGAAATGAAATGATACGTATAAAACGAGAAGTTTTAGCTAAAGTATATTAAATTAATTATTAAATTTTCTTTAATTTGTTCTTATATAATACAATCTCAATATCTTTTATATTTTTGAGCTTATTGAAACTGTTCTTTATTCTCTGAACTTAAATATTATTGCATGGTATAAAAAAAAAGCATGTAATTTTAAATTAAGCTCGATAAAAACAGACTTGAGTTAAAAGTGTAACAAAATTAACTACTTTACCACATTAAAACTTTGTTCTAAAACACTTAGCATATGAAAGAAGTTTTAGCTAAAGGATATCAAAATAATTATTAAATTTTCTGTAAATTTGTATTTTTTGTAATACAATCTCAATATTCGAAGTCTTCCGAATACTCTTTGGACTTCATTAACAGCAAATTGTGTACACATTAAATTTAGAAGAACATTTTCAACATAATAGATCTCATTGTATACACGTTATTTAGTATATAAATAAAATTATTTATGAAAGAAAACTACAATCGGGTTTTCATTATTAAATATATAGCCATATGTAGATGAAATTCTAATATTCAATTGGCTAAATACTCATGTAACTGAAAATATCTATAGTTTTCCTATTTAAGTTGAAAATTTGAAATTGGACTAAATTTTGCAACAAAATTCAATTTCTCCCCATAATTCTGTAATTTACACTTTTATAATACAATATCAATATTCGAAGTGCCCAAATACTCATTCGACTTCATTTATAGTAAATTGTGAGCAAATTGAATTTTCATAACATTTTCAGCATAATATATTTTATAAATTACAAGTTATTTAATGCATAAGTAAAGTTATTCATGGAACTGAAATCATTTTTAATTATTAAATATATAACTATATGCAGATGAAATTCTATTATTCAATTGGCCAAATGCTTATACCCT